AGCCAAAGTATAGCACCATGGGTCCATTGAACAGACCCTGGATGCCTGGGGGAAAGGCAGACCATGGTCCTTAAGACTGTCATTGTGTCCAACTAATGATCATTCTTTCCCGTCCTTAATGTAGGGCACTGCAGCTACCTTGCCTTTGGCTGTGAGGCATTACCACCTGGCCTTTACTGCCAGGATACAGTCATTCTCACTGATATCAGGGAATCCAGTTCCATGATTCAACCAGACCCCCACTAGCAGCTCCAGCCTACAGACAGGACAGTCACCAGAGCAAGTCAAGGATGCTGGTGGCCCTCACAAACACATTTCTTAATGTTTTGGTAAAGAGAGTACTTTCCAGACCTCCTTAAAATATGTGGGTAGGGGTAGCTAAGCAGACTTCATATACTAAATCCCATCCAGCCTTCCCATCTCTGTGAGATTTTGGATTCCTTCCTTTACAGTATGCCAGGGAACTTCTGGCATTTCAAGTTTATTAAATATAGGCTACTATTAAGTCTAGGCTTTAATTAAGCAACCTTCAGACTATTCATACCTCTCCCAGGTGCTCAAGCCAACACATTAATTCCAAAATCCTGGATGAGCACCCACGGCCATGAATTTGGCCAAACTGAGCTTTATATTCACCCTCCTGGGTCTATTTCCCTTGGAACCCACTCCCATACATGCTCCCATGGCTTCTGCCAAGGCAGGTTAGCAGGCCTGTAACTGTTTCTGTCTGGGTGTCCTCTCAGTGTGGGCCCTGTGCTTCTTTACCAGGTTGTGCTGGGCTTGATTTGTGAAGGGCCTGAGGCCAAGGAGGGACGGTAGGTGGGGATTGTCCTGGAGCTGATGTCCTGGGAGACGGGAGCACTATGCATCTGCCTGAGTGCACCCATCCCATCTAAGGGTCTTGCCTTAACATAAGAGCCTAGAGGGCTCAGCATTTGATTAGCACTGCAACTTGGCAACCTTACAATGACATCCTGGGGCCAGTCCTCAGTCATATGAGTCCTCTCTGTCTACCGGAGATGAGTGACACTTTCAAGGTGCCATCAAGGTGTCCTGATTGCTCACTCACATTGAAAAATTCCAGTTCTCCCTTCCCCTGTGCATGTTCCCTGTGGCCATCAGAAGGTGAATGACTCCATGCCATAGTGAGAAGAGCCACAGCCATTTCATCCGCCATCTTTAGGCCCCAATGATGTGGCACCGTACAGATCTTTCCCTGTCACCTTTTGAGTAATGGTAATAACTGGAGTAATGGTGGTATCTCTCTACCCAGTGGACTGCCTCAGTTCATTTCTCCCTCTGCAAGGAGGCTTCTTCTGCCTGCCTTGAATTTATGATCATCCCATCCCAGTATCCTGTGTGAGGCTGTTCCTGGAATTGACTTCTGTGTTCATGAGTATGGACAAGAAACAGATGACATGCTTATGTTGCGTAATTTGAGGAGAATTAAATAAAGGGACTATTTACAGAGGTGTGGTGGGGTGAAGGGCAATCCCATGAGGGCAGTGCAATACCTGGGCCTGGTAAACTGGTCTGAAGAGTGAGGGGAGGGAGCAATGGCAGGGTCCCAGAGTCAGAGGGCTGAGTGGAGGGACCCTGCAGCTGGTGGATCCACTAAGGAGGGAAACTGGGGAATAAATACCCTGACCTCCTCCTCTTCCTCTCTTCTGCTGGCCCCTCCGTTGGCCAAACTCAAAAGTCAGATGGTAAGGGAGCCTGTTGCAGCATGTGTAGATGTCAGTGTCCAGGAGGCTGGGTGGACAGGGTGGAGAGAGGACTTGCAGGGGCCAACAGAAGAGGCCAGCGTGACCACCCATCTGATATGAATATCAGTAACTTCCTTTGTGGCATCATTTATTATCCCATTTAACCTGTTGGGCAGGCACTGTCATCACCCTCATTTTGAAGACAGGAAATCTCTGAAGCACAGATAAGTGAAAGACCTGGCTCCAAAGTCCCACAGCCCATAAGCACCAGAGGCGGATGAGGACCTGGGCTCGCCGTCCGGCTGTGGAGTCAGGCTTAGGCCAGCCCTGCAGGCTGAGCTGACCGCAAAAGCACTCACACATTTGTGTGCTGATAAGATCAAATACATTTAAAAGCCAGTAAAATCTGTGAGCTGCTTATTTCAGCTGGCACATAACACTACACCAGGTTCTGCATTAGGATATTTATATAATAAATTACATTTATTTATTATAAGCTCATTTATGACTCATTAGACATCTTTCAGCCATGATTTTTAAAAAATTGTATCTCAGCATGAAATGTCCTTCCCTCTCCCTTATTTTTTGAAACCCAATTCATCCGTCAAAGGCTTCTCAGTGGGCCCACCCCTTCCATCGTTGCCTTTGGAATTAATTGATCATGATTATCATATTTACTTACTTCCGTGACTTATCCCTGAGTAGGCTGCGAACCCCTTGAGGAGAGGGATCCGTATGCCAAGCATTCGGCAATGTGCACATCATAAGGGGAGCTCTCAAACAGTGCTGCATTGAGTGGAATTCAGTCTTTTCTCCGTGAGTTTATTATAACAGTACATTCAGTTGGTCAGTCATTTCATTAACATTTTCTGAGCACCACTTGGTCTCTATAGGTGCTGGTTGAGGCAGAATACTAGATGAGTAAGACCCATGGCCTAATCTAAGAGACACGTGTGGTTGGCAAGATGAGCAAAGGATTGTGGGAATGCAGAAAAAGGATCAATTAATTCCAAAGGCAACGATGGAAGGGTGGGCCCACTGAGAAGCCTTTGACAGATGAATTGGGTTTCAAAAAATAAGGGAGAGGGAAGGACATTTCATGCTGAGATACAATTTTTTAAAAATCATGGCTGAAAGATGTCTAATGAGTCATAAATGAGCTTAGGGGGTTTGAAGCCTATCTCTAAGCTTAGAGGTTGATACTTGCCACCCTTTGTCAAAATGACCTTTTGGCCTCCAGGGGCCTAGCTGACAGGGAAAGGCCGTGGATGTACTTGGATGGGAAGTGTCTTTGCCCCTGTCTGTGGGTTTATTCTGTTTTCCTTCTTGTGCCTCCCTGCCTTCTGCATGCTTCTCTATGGTAGTGCACAGGCTCAGAATGGCTGCCTGCAGGGCAGGGGCCTCTGTGCCTCATCAAGGGAAGCAGCCTGGGATAGGGAGAAGCACTGGTTTGGAGTCAGGAGGCCCAGGTTCCAACCCCAGGCTTGTTACTCCCTTTCACGGCTGTTTACAGCTCTGTATATAAGGGGTTGGGCTCAATGGCATTTGAGGTCCTTGCTGACAATCCCTAATTCCTGGGCTTGCCCTGCCCATCTTACCAAGTTGTGCAGAGGATCAAATTAAAGAATGTGAGAGAGAGAAAAAAATAATGATGCTGAGACAAGCCCTAACTTCCAAACACATACATATACATCACTCTCCCTGATTCTGAGAACACCTGGTCCTCACCATGTCTGGAAGGACACTCAAGGTTGGTTTTGACCTCATAGAGATGCTTTCATCTTGTGCCTGGCTGGCAGGAAAGAAGGCAGTGGTGGAACAGAAAACCAGAGCTCCCCAGATGGCTGTTGGGAGTAAAACGGGGAAAAGACATCTGAGAAACAAAGTTAGGAGGGAGTCCTTAGAGCAAGAGCTGCAGAAGATGGCTTAGGAACTGACACAGGCCAGAGAGAGAAGGTGTTCTTCCTTCACTTGGTGCTGTTAAAAGCCCCAACTGGCATACAGCAATTCAGTTCTAGTGTTAACCTCAAAGTTGGCACAGACCCCAATAAGACTACTCTTACTTTGGATGCCAGCTGCAAGTTCAGAGGGGTTCCCCAGGCCACAGGCATTCTGACTGACTGGGTACAAATTTGGGAGATCCCACAACCCCGTTCAGGTTCAATAATTCACTAGAACAACTATAGAACTCAGGAAAGTGCTATTGTGATGATTAGTGTTTTACTGGAGAGGACATAAAATCAGCAGGACCAGCCAAATGAAGATGTGCATGGGGCAAGGTCTGGGAGGGTCCCAAATGCAGAGTTTCTGTGCCCTCTTCTCATGGAGCCAGGGCCTATCACTCTCCGGACACATAGATGTGTTCACCAATCAGCGAGCTCCAGTGAGCTTTGTGTCCAGAGTTTTTATTGGGGCTTTATTACATAGACATGGTTGATTAAATCATTGCAGGGAGATTGAACCCCATCTCCAACCCCCTCTTCTTCTTGAACCTCACATGGCACAAAGCCCTAATCCTTCAATGCTGTGGTTGGTCTTTCTGGTGTGGCCCAACCCCAGGCCTGAAATTATTTAGGGGCCATGAGTCACTTCGTTGGGATAAACTATCAGCGCCCACCATGAATATCACTCCTAATATTTGGGAAGTCCCAAGGATTTAGTCTCCCTCCCAGGAACTGGGGACTAAGGCCAAATTCTTTAGTATACATTTAGTATGGTCAGATGGAAGTCAGATAGGCTTATGAAGCTCCCCACCCCTCCAGTTTTTTGACACATTTCAAACCATTTAGATTCACCGATTCTCAGCAGTTTTGCCTCGTTTGCTTTCTCTCTTTCTCATTATGACACTTCAACCCTAAATACTTCGGCAGGTATCTCCTGGGAACAAGGTCATTCCCCTGCTTACAAAAGCACAATTCACTCAAGAAATTTAACATTAATATAACACTGTCATCTAACATACAGATTGTATTCAAATTTTCCCAAGGGTAAACTGTCCTTTACAACTGATTTTCCCCCCATCTTGGATCCAAGCCAGGATCACGCTTTGCATTTTTCCGTATCTTCTTTAATTTCACATAATTCCTCAGTCTTCTCTTTTTTCTTTCTTTGCCTTTTATGACATTAACATTTATAAAGTGTCCACGCCTCACAAAGTAAGAGACGTTTGGTTTATTTCCTCAAGATTAGATTCAGAGTGATTATTTTGGGCAGGAATACTACAGAATTGTAGTACATTTATCCTATTAATAGTAATTAAACTTTGCTTACGTGATTAAGATGGTGTTTGCAGATCAGTTAGCTTTCGATAAACCCAGAAACTGAGAATTATTGGCACTGCCTTTCCAAGCAGCCAGAGGGACTGGAGTCCTCCAGAAGGGCCCGCCGCCATCTTTTCTCATCCCCTTTGGGAACACCAGGAATAGTTTTGATGGCAGGTCATGGCGAGAGAGTGGCGAGCCTCCACTCTGTTGCCACTTATTTCCAGTTCTCCTGAGGCTACTTGGAGATACCTCCACAGCTATTTTCTGTCTGGTGCTGCGGGGCTTTGGATGGAGATCATCTCCCTGACGCGGTAGGTGCTCCCTTCTGCAAAGGCAAGTAAGAAGGTAGGTGTGCGGTGCCTATACCTGCCTGCAAACGTGGGGGTTTTGCCTTCATCAGCGGGTCCTCATGCTCTAGGGTGGACTTTGCGTATATGTGTGCGAAGCATTTCCGCGAGGAGCTGGTGAGGGTTCTCACGTGCCACCCCTCTTTCTGGGGAGGCTTGGTATGGCCTACGACACCCCTTCATTTTCTCCGAGGATGGTTGCACCCAACCCACCCGGAAGTGTTTGTTTCGCGGCACACTGGTCGGGCTAAGCGGCCAGACATGGAGCCGACCCGCCGCCAGAGCTTGTCCGCCCGAGATCCCACAGTCGCAGAACCGGCCCCGGCCTCGGTGACCTTGGCGCAGCTCCTAGAGCTGGTCCAGCAGGGCCAGGATCTCCCGGGCTTGGAGAGGCGCCACTTCGCAGCGACACATGGCGAACCCACCGCGTCCCGTCTGCCACGGAGGCCCAAGCCCTGGGAGAATGTGAGCTCGGCCGAGGTCCCTGCGCCCCCGCTGACCCTCGGGGCCGCACAGAGGAACCACCTGGCTCGTCGGAGTTAGCGACTGCTCCTTTCTAAATGGCACGTAGTGGGTTCCGGAGGCTCGAGGTCCTTTGCAGCTCAGATCTGGAGAGCGTGCCTGTGTCTAGTATACACTCACACCCTGGGTACTGGCTGTTTGCTCACCTTTTGTGCATTCGCCCTCACCTGTCTTAACTGCACTTAATCCTCCTGGGAGCATCATCAGGGTGGTTTTGTACCTGTATTTCTGGACCATGTCCTCATTAAAAAAGATTTTTTAAAAATTCCATTTGTCATATGTAATTGAATCAAATCTTACTTCACTGTGATGCAGCTATGTATTTTCATTTTGAAAAATGTTAGTACACACTAACAGGATCTGACACTGGGAACAATTTCTTAGGAATGTATGAGAATGTGTTATCTCCAAGTTCAGCTTATTCTTGTGGTTGTGGAAGTGAATTTAGGATCCAAAAGGAGTTCTGATTTTAGACAGCCATTCTCCAGGTAGGCATTAATAAAAAGTCTGATGGTAGAACTTGGCCCCAGAATGATTTCAAAGATGCGCTCAACAAATGAAATCCAAAAGCATAAAAAAAACGCCACCACCAAAAATCCTAGAACCCTAGACTCTGGTCACCAGCTGAATCAGGCAAGGGGCGTAAACGCTCACAGCAGAGGAAACCTACAGGAACCCTAGTAGTCTCTTCAAATAGGCCATGTGGCTCACTGTACTTAATCTTGCTTCCTAAAACTAGGTTTGTTTTCCTTCTATCTAGAACATACCAGGTATATATGTTGACTGTCATAAACAGCTCACATAAACATACACTAATCTGAAGATTATATAACAGGACTAGTTTTTCCTAGATAAGGATAGTCCCACAACCTGTTTAAGGAACAATGTATCATGGTACATGGTAGAGCATACTTTTTATAATTTTACATAGAATTGTAAGTTAAAAACTTTTTGCTTAATCCTTTTAACAACCACGTGAGGCAGACAGTATAGTCTGTATTAGCTCCATTTTACAGGCAAGAGCAGAAACATTCCCACAGTATAAGACAAACCTGAGATATAAACCCTGGGTTTCCATACACCATTTTAAAGTAATCTGATTTCACAATGCTTTAGAGTGTAAGAGTAACATCTGTAACATCTATTCCTGGCAGGTTAACTCTTGAGCCAACCAACCTACTTACTTACTTACTTCATAACTTGGCATCGTTATACCTCTAACTCAATCTCAGAGCTATGTTTGAGGATCCCATGAGCCAAAACTGCAGCAAAGCTGATCTTAAGGGACCAAGGCACACAGTGGCCAGGCATGTTTTCCAGCCTTAACCTAAGCCTGGCGCACCCTCACCAACTCTTCCATGCCAAGTTGAAGCAACTGAGTAACAGCAGCAGAGGGAAGGCTCACTTGGGGGTGGACACTTGTGATAAACCTCAGCAGGATCAGACCCCCTTTTCAGGTCTTGCGTCTCCAGGAGTCCTGGTATTGGCATCAGCACTGTAGAGTATGTCTGGAGTCTAGAATATGCAAGGAGGGGGTCCAATTAACTTGCCTGGAGTGTAAAAGTTGTCTTTCCTGATTTGTTTTAATCAGAGGACTGATTGAGAAACCAGAAAATCCCATCCTGAAGCCCAGAAATAAATGGGAGGCATTTATTTCCCTGAGTTAAAAATGACACAGGGGCTCAACAATCTACCATTATGTTAATAGGAAACACCCAACTGGCTCAAAGGGGGAAGTTACCTTGGTACACTATGGCCTTCCGCAGGACCTTGAACCAGAGGGGAGTAGCAAGGTAGGGCCAATCCTTATAATGAAAGACTTCACATAAGTTGCATGGATCCCTGAGAAGAGGCTCTGAACACCTAAAATTTCCGATAAAAATTTGAGTGTATGCATGTTTTCCTGGGGAAAGGAAGGGTTCTTCCTTTCTTAGACCCAAGAACAGGTTGGAAACTGAGCTAGAAAAAAGGACTAAGCCAGTTGCAGGCTAGGATAAGGAAGCCATCAGATATACTTAGAGCCAGTCAAGTCTGAGAGCTTACAAAGCTATCACTGAAAAGTTGGAACATGGATTCATAGTAGAGACAACTGAGTACTGTTTCTGTGCTCTTCTCATTGTATTTCAAGTTCTTTCCAAAACAAGGCCCTAGTAACCCTCAGGTTCAGGTATGACCTGTGGGCTTGGCCCACTTCTGTCCTGTATTCACGTTTGGGTGGGTATTCATTCACCGGCATTAAACCCCAGAATAGAAGTGACAGAGTGAGACTTCCTAAAGCAGCAAGAGTCCTTTGGTGATGACAGAGGTGGTGTTGCAGCCAATATGGAAAACACACAGGAACCTTCCCTAGAACTGGGCTGCTATGACCAGTGCCTGCCAGCAACATCACTGTCTTTTGTGGTTTCTGAAGATATAATGGAAAATAATCTTCTCTGCAGATACTGGATAATCCCGAGAACACAAAAACACATGCTTCCAATGCACTTTGCTTTCAGATATTCTGTGGAAGAAGAACACAACTTCATTAATACAAATTTACTGCAACTTGGCACCTGAGAGTAACAACAATAAAAGCAATTTCAAAAAGTTAAGATTTCTTCAACAGAATAGGAGCCTTCTGAAATTAGTTTCTAATTTAATTCTCCCCCTTTCCAGCTAAAGGACTACAGCAATACAAAAGTGTTGGTTACTCAGTTGTAACTCTCCGGATACTCACAGCCCCATGTCCTAACTAGACAATCGCTCACTGTTCCAAGCACATCTCCATTCATTAGATGTGTAAGAAACAGCTGCCTCTCTCCCCCAGTGCCAGTTACTCTCAAATACCGGTAGACTCAGTAAGAATTTTTTTGTGTGTGTGTTTATTATATTCTCTTTATTTCTTTACATGTTTGAAATATTATAGAATAGATTATTTTTTAAATTAATCGACTTTATTTCTTAGGGCAGTTTTACATTTATAGAAAAATTGAGCAGAAAATGCAGGAAGTTCCCATGTATCTTCTCACCCTGCCCCTCACATACACACAGAGTGTCCCCTATTACTAATATCTTACCTTCTCAGTAAGAATTTTTAAGCGGCAAGGTATGGCCCACCAAAAGTCAGCCCAAGGGCATTTTCCAGCCCTGCCTCACCTGGGTTTAGTTCAGCTGCCGGATGAGCTGATTGATGCTTTCACCTCGATAGCCAGGCGAGCCCACCTCCTTGAGGAAACCCACTCTATTCTTAGTAGCATGACGGGCTACTGAGAGTTGGAAAGGACTCAAGAACTCTGAGATGACCTGGAAATTCTTCCCCGGAAAGGCAATTTCATGAATGAGGTCTTCCAAGCAAATGACATCAAATTTCCCTAAGAAGCACAAGGGCACAGATTCCTTTATTCAGCATTTCCCCACCATATACTGCAGGATCCTATGTGCCGCAGCTGGGCACTCTGGTAGGTTCCTGGGACCAAGAAGAGTATGACCTGGACTCCACGTGGAGACCACCGAAGATCCCTGCTTTCTGCCCCAACTGACCCGAGATTCACACTCACCAAGGTGCTCCTCAATCATTGTGTTGTCTGTTAAAGGGATGATTTTATTCTTGATCTTGGCTTGTCCACGTTTCAAGATGAGTTCCCGGACAGACTTCAGATTTGGAAATCTATGTGACACAGAATAAACTACAGCCTTAGGCAGCCCCTGGCACACCATATTACACTGCCCACTTAGTCCTGAAGCCTGGCTGAGAGTAGAGTCTCCCAAGTACCCCTTCCCCACACTGGAAGGGCCCTGTTATCACATTTAAGCAGGAATACACAAGTGAAGAAGAGGGAAGAAAACCAAATTGGCCTTAACAATGACAACAGAAACTAAGATTTATGGATATAAATGTTTACCAGGCAAAAATAAAACAAGCCCTAAGCCCTGGCTTACAGGCTATGCTTTTTGCCTTAGGGGACTCTCTACTGAAGATGGTGCAAGAGTTTGAATTAAATCTAAGCCTTTGTTGGGTTTTAATGTTTAGAGGCATACTAACTACTCTTACGCAAGTACTGCCCCCAGCTCTGCTTCACAACTCCAAGGATTAATTTCTCCTCTACACATCTCACTCAGCCCTGCCATGATACTGTTCACGGAGCATTACAGCAGTACGGACACCTCCTACTCTACCTGCCCTACATTCCTTTCTTGGGAACTGGCAGTTGATTTCTGGTGACTGAGGCCCAAGAACAGGTCATAGCATATCCCTCAACCCAGCAACATGAGCCCTGGAGAACAGTACGCTGTGCACCCACGTTCCCAACATGTGAAATACAATGCAATGTGAATCCACACACAAAACCCTCACTCACCCCCAGGTCACATATGGTTCCACTATACGGAGCATTTTTATCGTTTGAGGGGTCACTTTGACGAAGACACCGCTGAAAATTTTCTTTAGGCGAAGCCTTGCAATGGTTCTCTGCACTGTTGAACTCACCCCATCAATCCTGAAATGAACAGCAGAGGAAGTCAGGATCTATTGTTTATGCCAGTCCAGCAAGCACCTGTGAAATGTGCGCCACGACTAGGCACCCAGAGAGTAAGACAGATTGGGCTTCAGAGCTCAGCTGAGCTGAGCAGGGAGAAGCTATGTAAACAGATGGTTCTCATGTGATATGGAGCAATGTTTGAGATGCTATGGGAACACAGAGACTGTCCTGAATTTGTGGGGGTGTATGCAGGGCTATGCATGTCAAGCTAAAGAAGCAGGGTGGTAAAAGCTACGGGACATTTTAAGTAAAGGAGATGCAATCCAGTTTCTTTTTGACAATGGCTGAGAAGAGCATATAGGACAGATGTGAAAATGTGACACCAGAAGCAGGGACACCCAGTTAGGAAGTTAATGTGATAATCTAGGAAAGAGATTACAGAAGTGGCAGGAGGACTAAGAAAGAGTGCTCATAAATTTAAACTCCACAGGTTTCTGGTTTAGGTGCCTGGACAGGGGAAACAGGAAGAGGGTGTACGTGCAGGCCAAGAATGGCTAAGGAAAGTACCACCAATGTGGAAAACCTTTACGTACTCTCTCCAGTACTGAATAGGGTCCATCCACTTGACCTTGGTTCAGTTCCTAGAAAGATGCCTAATTCCCCCACTTTAGAACTTTTTGCACATATGCCTGAAACACATTTCCCTAACTATGGTGGACTTATTCTTGACAAAAGTTAAGGAATCTTTACTTTTTGAAATTGCTCTTATTGTTATTACTCTCAGGTGCCAAACTGCAGGAACCGCTCTATGTTTACTTGATCAGAGACATCTATTCTAGCCCATGGCTGGATGACCCCCACGACCTCATGCGCCGAGTTGACAGGAGTGACAGTAGGACTTATGGCGGACTCTGCTTCAAGTTCCTGCTTTAGAGTGTGTCTTCAACCAGCGACCCTCCTGCAGCACTTGACCTTCAGAACACTTGGTGCATTTTCATGTCTATCTGCCTAATGTCAGTCTCCTTAACCTTGAAGACAAATTGTTGTGGTCAACTTGCCTTGTGGCTTAAGGCTTATCTTCATCTCCCTAGAAAGTAATATAAAGCTCAAGTTTGCCCCATCAAATCTGGCAAGCCCCTTACCTTTGGATGCGTACAGCAAAGGCCAAGGAATGTTTATCTGGCACTTCCAAGCCATGAGGTTTCACATGTAGTCGTCTGAGGCGCACCCTGTCACGTAGTTGCCGCCAGGAATCATGCAGGAACCATTCCAGTCGCTTAAACTTGACCTCTTTTCCTTTCTTCTGCTACAGAGAAGACAGACCATCATCACCATTTTGGGCCTCTATTCATCTTTATTTCCATAGCACTAATTCATCACTCACTATAGATAGAGCTTATCTTCCATGTTCTGCAAAGGGAAGCAAACATACATCCTCTATTCTTATGTAATGAGGTACCCAAGTGAAGGTGGAGTTGAGAAGACTGAGAACTATTGGGATAAGTCCCCATTAAATAAACAAACAAGTTAGTTTACATGCTGTTAGCTAATGTTTACCAACAAATGTTATGGGGCCTAAAATTGAGTTAGACATCATAAAATACAACAGGTTGTTTTGTTTCCTGGCTCCAGAACATGTATTTCTCCAAAAGTGTTTGGCAAAAAGCAAAAACTGTTTAGCACATTTAGCACATTAAAAAAGGTACACCAGCGGGCTTGGTTTCTTAAGTTCCTTGGTATGAACCTAGCAGGTACAATTGCTATTCCACTTTTTCCTTAACAAACTCCACTGCAGTATTATTCTCCAAGTAGAAAGTGCTTCATAAATATTTGTTAAATGAAGACAACGAACCATATACCTGGAAAATCGAACCCACAGGGGAAAAGGATTGCTGATACCAAATCTAGTTCGACACATGCCAGATATAACTCACCAAACCCAAATTCTAATTTCTCCTTCTTGGCTCCCTGTCATTACCTCCTTCTTTTCCAAAAGTGCCCGCTTTGCTTGAGTGGCTTTGAGGGCCTGATAAGCCTTTCTCTTTTTCAGGAGATTTTCTGGAACCAAAGGGATCTTTTTTCTTTGCCTGATGGAGAAGATTGAGATCAGTGTTACATTTTTAGGAAACTAATCTTCAATGGATTTCCAAACCATTTCCTGGCTTCGGGAAACATTACTGTGTTCAAATTCCTGACGACTTGAGACTTCCCTGAAACTTGTACAAGTTTCTGACTCCAGTCCTAGAAGTGTATCCCTAACATTCTCTTCCCCAAAGCATCGAAAGCTTGCGCCCTTTCGCCACTGGTCCTCCTATGCGTCAATGGAACTTTTACTAATGTGTCCAGTTAAAAGCACCAGCATCTATGTGATTCTAGTAAAACTCTATTATGAGGTTAGGGAGGGTGCAGACCCATTTGCAGGGGTAATAATTAAGTCAAGCTGGGTGAATCCAATTCTGGCAACCACCAGCCCACTGCCGGCAAGTCAATCGTTGCTCTAGATAAACCCCAACTTGATGGCGGCCGCCCCTCCGCCCGCCCCAACCCTACAGCTCCTTACTCCTCACCAACCCTCCGTAATCTGAAGTCTTGTTTCTGCTCTTCTCGGTTCACAAATATCGCAATAAACACCGCGGATGGCACCGGATGTTCAACACCCCACTGCAGAGATTCACAAACACACATACTCACTCCGGCTCCGCCATCTTTCCAGGGCTGCGGCAACTGCGCATGCGCAGCCCAGCCACGAGAGAAGAGAGGAACCGCTCTATGTTTACTTGATCATAGAGACGTCTATTCTAGCCCACGGCTGGGTGGCCCCCCCCACCGCCCACTACCTCAGGCGCCCAGTTGACAGGCGTGAACAGCTGAGTCTTGCTAACCCTGATTCCTGCTAAAATTTGCAGAAGGCTTCTTCGCACTGCTTCCAAGCACTTTAGAGCCTATGCCGTCCTCAAAATACAGGCCTTTTAACTTAAGCTATGTCTCATATTGCTGGTGGCCGGGCTGCAAACAATGAAACGCTTCCCCCAATGCACATAAGTAGAATGGGCGCAGCTTCTGCGGCTCCTGTTCCGCTGAGCGACTTTAGGGAGACCAGCAACCCTGGGGTAGTCTTTTTGCTCCGTAGGGAGAGCTGGGGCTTTGACTCTCACGTAGGTGAAAGTGTGGACAACTTAGGATAGTAAAGAAAGCGTGTCTGATTCCGTCTGCCCGGCTCCGTCAGCGGGTTCCTGCGCAAGTTATTTAATTCCTTCGTACCTTGGTTTCCTTACCCATAAGATGGGTATAATAATGAACTTACCCAACAGCGTTAGGAGGATTATGAAATACTCCATATAAAGCGCTTAGCACAATGTCGGATGTAAGCAGTCAGTACTGTGTTATTAACGGCGGTCCGAAAATAGAAATTCCTTCTTGCCACCTGAGAACCTTCCCTCGTACAATTCTCACCACCTGAAATTTGCTTACTTCTTTACTGGTCTTCATAAAACAAAAGCAGCTCATGTCCTGTCTTCTGGAAACCTCCAGAGCAGCGCGTCTCCAGCATTAAAATGCATAGGAGTCACCCAAGGATCTTGTTAAAATGCAGATTATTACCCAAGGGTGGGGTGGCGCCGATATTAACGTATTTTTAACATGCTTCAAAGTGATGTCATGCTTCAGGTCTATGGACTATGCTTGGACTAGTAAGCCTCTAGAGAACACTCTCTTTCCTGTCTCTGTATTCCATCAGCACATTATTATATTTTTAACATTTCTTTCCCATAATACTATAAGAGCAGAGACCATGCCTTCCTTATTCATAACTGATCCTAAGGTTCTAGTGCAGGTTTCTCAGTCTCAGCACTATTGGCATCTGGGGCCAGGTAATTCTTTGTTATGGAAGAGCCGTCCTGTGCATTTCAGGAGGGTTGGCAGCATCCCGGGCTTCTACCCACATACCTGTAGCACCCCCACGCCAGCTGACAAACAAAAATGTCTCCAGAAATTGCCAAATGTCTAGCACAGTATACATATTTATCCTAATGTTAGGGCAGTGTCATTATTGGACAGTCAGCACTTACAAGTGTCACCACAGACTATCCTGTACTGTTTGGATTATTGGTTCCCTAATTAGATTGGGTGTTCTAAAGGCAGGGAACCTGTCTCATACTTCTGTATCTTCTGCAGCACCCATCACGATGGGCACTTGTTGGGGCTTGTTAACTATCTAATGTCTAAGCTTAAGGCATCCATATTGGCATGAGCTATGTAACTAGTCCAACCAGAAACAGCACCACACACAGAACTCATTACCTGATGAATAAATGTAAAGGGAAAATGTGATCTTCAGAGTCACAGAGTGGGGCTTTTCCACAGACTGAGGCTCATTCTTGCAAAGCACCTCACCATGTATCTTACTATGTAAAGAGACAAAAACAGAAGGATCACGAAAGTGTTAAACATCTGTTAGAAAGTAAACGGGAACAAAAAGTTGAGTCAATATTTGTAACTTTCCGTGTGTACAGATAAAAGGTTGGTTTTGTGGTACTGAAGGTATAAAGGAGAGGAAGAATTTCAGGGGTGTTAACAATGCCCCTGGCTGAAAGTACAAACAATGCTCCTTGGTGGCCAGGTTCAGGAAAAGGTCTTCCAATGCCAGCAGATGGTGCTAGAAGAGTACTTATTCTTAGTTCCAATGCCATTGTTCCACCAGACATCCCGAGAAAAAGAGATCAAGTCTTCATCACCAAGTTGTTCACTAACTGAATACATGTTTACTGAGCATTGCCCTAGCACTGGGAAAATTCAATATTTTTTTATTTCAGAGTGAGGTTACTGAATGAGAGCAAGGCATGGTCATTTATAGTCTCAAGAATGTTATTTTTTTTTTTTAGCTTGTCCTCATAGGCCTGTGTTTTTTTCTTGACTACTTCAGTTGTCCATCATGAGGGAATGGTGAAATAAGTTACAGAAGACTATCAATTATATGCTGTCAGGTAGGTCTCCATGTCCTGAAATCTCAGCGGTGGGTGTTTTTCATTTTTCTGGCCTGCTGACATCCATTCTCATTTCCTCAGAGTATCCCATTTCTCTTGTGGACAGGTTTCTCCTCATGTACAATCTTGGAGGGGTGGAGCATCAAATCCAAATGTTTGGCCCCCCAGTAAGTACCTAAGTTGAAGGGGTCTCCAGAGGAAGATCTTTTCAACTTCTCCCCTCTCCCCGGCAGGAGGGCCCATGAGACCCTAAAATCCTCTCCTCTGGGTTTTGAATCTTGAGCAAAGTGATGATGGAAGAAATGTAGGGGGTTTAGGGCAAGACTTAAAAAATTTTCCATCTACTAAGACCTCCTGAGATTTCCTTGTTCCTGCTTTTCCCACTCCTGTTGGTTCTTCAATCTTCCCTGCAATCCTTATCCTTCCTATAAAATTCTTTTATGCTGGTTAACTAAGCATATCAGTTTCTGTTGCTTGCAACAGACTCCAGACATTTGGTTACATTTGAAAAAGCAAGGTGCAGAATAGAGTATAAGAAAGTGATCTTGTTTGTTTTCTGTTGGTTTTGTTTTTTGGCTGTAGATGTATTTATAACAGTTTTGGAAAGATATATAAGAAAGTGTTGATGGGCTTATTTTTGGGAAAAGGGAGTAGGGATGGGAATGGGAGGAAGACTTACATTTTGTGGTATGCCCTTTATCAATATGTATTAAGAAAAAGCTCTCCAGGTAATTAGGTTCTTGTGATTTGCCTGCTTTAGGAACCACTTGACTGTGTTTTTTAAGAGGGCTTTCAGGACCATTTTTTATATCTCTGAATTGACTCCAGAATCCCTTTCCTAATAACATATTCCACAAGTGGCTTCAGTTGTCTGTACTTTGGGATTATTTGGAATCTTACTCTTTTTCACCTAAGGGACAACTGAGCAGTGCCTTCTCAGTAAGCAAAACCACCTTAGGTTTTGGGGGCTCCATCTACAATTAGCTGTATGAGAACAGATTCCTATTTATGTATTGATTACTAAAGAATCTTGATTTCTAATTGCTACTGCTTTACGGGCAGGAGGGAAAGCAGCGGAACCATAAAGGAGTGTAAGTGTAAATCCTGGGCCCCAAAGAAAAATATAAGAAGTCCTATACCCTCACACCCAGAACTACATTTCACCCTGTGGTAGTTTCCCTAACAAGTTGGGTAGACTCACACCGTGAGGGGAGGAACTTAGAGAGCCTCACAGGGCTGACTTTGCAGATAAGGGTACAGAGGTATTCCTCAAATAAATCTGGTCAAATGTGTGAATCCAAAGAGACACATGTTAATTCTGGAACAAGTCTTAGGCGAAACCGTTTTCTTTAACTATCCTAATTTAGCCTTCTAGTCCTTGCAGAAACAAAATAAATACAATGATTGTGGAAAGTTTTCTGCAGATTGAGGCTCATGTATCTAACTTTTCAAATTACCCCATTTTTCCTTCCTTAGTTAAGGACTCTTCTGGCAGGAACAGGGAGGGAAGCCAGAGAGAGATATACATGACTAGCCTTTCTCAGGACTCATTTTGTTTTATTTGTAACTGTTTGGAAAGGCAGATCAATTAAAATCCTACCCCCTCCCTGGCTAGGCTACTTTCTGGTACTGAAAGCTCTATTTAAATAGAACTAGCACTATATGCTTACTTACCCTTTTCTTCTGGGAAAAGAGCCACTCCTGTTTGGAAAATCAAGACAATCACAGTTGCACATTTTCCCAAATCTTTGGCTGTATTGCAATGGTTGTTTCATTTTGTAATCTCCAACTAAACATTTCCTAACCAGGGATTAACAATATAGGTACTGACTGGTTTCTTTTAACAGTATTTATCCAACATAACAAAATAAACTGCAATTTGTTATACTTTTTTTTACAAAACATTTTATAAATATTTTTACAAAATGTATACAAAGCAATTTCAAGTGAGACATACTATACAAATGAAGGTATTTAAGCAAATAAAGCCCACACCACATTGACAGTGAGTGACGCGTCCTCTTTAAGTCAAGTCAGTCTGTAAGGCCTCCCTAATCTAACAAAGTCTACTAAATTCTTCAGAGCTAAAATAGTTCTTTTTTCGTAATTGCCGGTTTAAAATTTGCTTTATCTTTAGGCAGTACTTAAGGACACAGAAAATCAAATGCTTAGTAACGAACACGTGCTTTCCACAACAACAGAATAAAAAAAAGGAAAATGCTTTTTGTTACTGAGTACAAGTAGTTATTAAACTGAACTTTGACTAATGAACCTGAACAACCGACTGCTGGCCAACAGAGGCCGAGCTCTCTTACCCTTCACCAGAGGGAGCTCGGCATGGCATGTGAGTTATGACCCATGTGTGCATAATCTAATCACAGGAGTAAAATACATCTCATAATCTTCATTTGTCATTACCTAGGATTTTTCTCCATAAAAAGTAAACTTACATACAAGGACACAAACATTTACAAGTTTCGTTTTGGTAAATTAGGCTCTCCATTTGCTAGACAAATATTAGGGCTTTAAAAACCCTTGAAGATGGTATATGGGAAAGCTAGGGTTGGGGTGGCAGGGCACGACAGGGAAGAAAGAGGTGACAAATGTACGAGAAGCTTGTCTGTGAAGAATTCCACTGACTGGCAGTAATTCACGTAACTCATCAGTAGCCTGCTGTGAAGGCTTCCAGGTTAAAGTTCCACAGAGTGAAGAATTTGATCAAGAGGGACCATCTTTAAGTCTTGCTAGGATTTAGGGGAGCATGAGTCCTAAGGGAAGAGCCTGTGATATCATGGGGTTCAGGGCAGGGTGTTACCCCAAGGCTGCCCAAACAGAAAAGCTCCAACTGGCAATGTCAATTCATCTTTCTAATATGTAAAAATACAGGAAAAAGGGGAAATCTGCAACTTGGACATTGGCACAAATAAGGAAAAAATGGTAACCCTAAAATGGCCCAGATTTTCCAATTTCTATTGGCTGGAGGCTGGGGGTGGGGAGAAGGTATGCTGCTCTTATGAAGACTGGCTGTCTCATAGGCTTTCTCTGTGAGGCGGGACAAGGGGGCAGGGAGGGTCTAGGTCTTCTGTTGCTGTGTTTTCTAGTAATCAGAAGCCTTCCTTTCCATCTCAGGCCAATCTAGAAAAGAAATGCCTGACATGATGCAGTGGGGGTCATCCACAGTCTGGGGACAGCCAGAAGCAGATCCTGGCAACATGCTGGAGTGGAGACCAGTGGGTGTACTTCTAAAGCCAGAGAGATACACAGAATAAATGAAAGGGTGCATGCAGGTGACAGAGAGAGGGGGTGTGCACACACTGTAACCAAAATGCCCTCTGGACCTGAACACCCAGACCCAGGCACACAGAGGTGACTGAAGGGGTACATAAAACACCGAATGTGGCTTTCCCAATGGTGGGAGGTACCTGATGGTTACAGTGGCATGAAGAATGAATGTCAGAACAGAAATGGGATGAGCTGGGGCAGGTATACAAGAAGGGAAAATGGGGAAAGCTCCCTGAAAAGAAAAATAAATAAATAAAGCAACGTTATGTTCACTAATCGGAACATGGGCTGAACACAAACCGAGATGGGGGCATATGCCCCTTGGCTCTCAAGTGGGAATCCTGTGTCTCAGATCATTCCTTTCAGTGGTGGGCTGGCTGGCTACCTTTGGTTTGTCTGCGTTTTGGTAATGACTGCTGCCGGGGGTGGACGACTGTTCTCAGACAAGAAGCATAAACGAAGCCAAAGTCCCCTTGAAGGTTAACTGAAAATTACAACACAGTTTTCAAATGAAAGTGCTTTTGGCACTTGGCTCTTTGTTGGAAAGGATGTGAAGAGAGATTAAATGAAACAAAATCCAGCAACAAACAAAAACATACAGCATACGTTGATTCTATCCAATTATAAAATGCAAAACGCTTGTTTTTTCTCAATAGTTAACATATATATGCTTTTACATATATACATATTCTATTCCTCATGACTCTATCCCAGCCTCCCCTGTACACTGTGCCACTGACTGGTTGCTATTTTCCTTTATTTAGCCTGGTGAGGTTAGATCAAGTCATGCTGTTGCAATGAACAGAGCATTCCCTCGGTGAAATTCAACACGCATATGCTGAAAAACATGGGGTTTTGCTCCAGGAGCTCTGGGAAAGCACTCGAACAGCGAGCATGGGAGCCCTGCAAGTGCCCTGTTCGTGTGCCCCCTGCTGCTCACACCAGGGCTGTGGCCTCCCCAGCAGGGCGGCGAGGAACCTACTGCTCAGAGGTGGCTGAGACCAGGGCTGTGGCCTCCCCAGCAGGGCGGCGAGGAACCTACTGCTCAGAGGTGGCTGAGTCGGGGAACCCTGTGGGCTCCCCCTCAATAACAAAAAACCCAGAAATATGGAGATGCAGTGGGGTATTCTTTAAAAAGTAGCTTCTATCAGTCCTGTTTGAATTTCTTTGATGAGTCTGTTCTTTTCAAATGACTTATGATTGTCAGAATTTTACCCAGGGCTATGTGTACTGTGATCTCACTGAGTTACAGGGTTTTCAGAAATATAAAACAAATAAACGAAAACATAACTATAAGCACTTTTGTAACACTTGAAATGTGTAGGGCCTTTCAGACTGCTTTCTAACAAGAATTCATTTTACTAAAGGATCTCCCTGTAACCTCCACCGAGTATTGCTCTTAAACAAAGAATGGGACTGAGATTAGAAAGGATGACCTGTGATGAAAGATCAAGCAGGCTGGAGACAGGAGACCGCTTCCATTTGCTTTTGCCAGGAGAGAATGCAACTTGTCCAGGGCGGGGACTCAGGGCGGGGGCTCAGGGCGGGGCAGGGAAGGACGGCTGCTATTAACACTCTAGGATACTATTTACAGCTGCTTCTAAAATGGAGTCAGTTTCTACAACACCTTCACTGTGGTCCGGGATGAACTTTTCCAGGCAGTTTTCCTGCGAAGCCATTGGAGAAAAGTTGGGAAAATCTAACTCAACAGAGCCACTAACCGCGGCGTCGTTATGGGGCTGCCGCCCAGCCTTTTTGAGTTCCAAGATGTTCTTAAACGTTGTTTCTAAACTCTTAGTGAGCTGGAGATCCGGCTGGGGCTCACCTGACCCTTTCACGGTGTCTGTGTGTAAAACTTCATTCTTTGGAGAATTCCTCAGAGTTTTGTCTTGGAAGGAATTGTTACAGGTCATCTCCAAGTGAGAATCTACTAGGATACTTGAGAGTTTGCTTTCAGTACCATGATCTAGTCTGGATGAGGTTTTCCGGTGCCCGTCGGGGCCAGGAGGGCACTCGCTGGCCTTCATGGACTCTCTCCGACTGGTTTTCTCTTCAGATGCACTCCGGTACTGAACTAAGCCCGCTTTGTCAAATTTCAGTGCTCGGCCAAGGCATTCCGTTTTTTTAGAAATGTTTCCTTCTGCGGAGACCACGATGTGATTAGGCACTAAATTAAACTGATCATGATTCGTTGGCTCTGCCATGCCTGGTTTGGCTCGGTCTCTGCTCTGGGCCTTGGCTGTCAGATGTAGAGAGCTGGTTGTTTTACTGCCATGCTGGTCACTCCTGCCAAACTGCGTCTCGTGAGCAGCTTTGTCAAGTTTGAGGGAACAACAGAAATCAGCCTGAAAGCCCTCTGGAAATGGAAACAAAAAGAACACTGATGAATGAATGAGAGTAAGGACTACAGAGCAGACCCTCCGGGGGTCAGGTGCAAGGCCAGCCTCCCCAGCCCAGCCCCACGAGGGAGTCTCTCACGTCCAGCAACATGCAGAACACCTAAGGGAGCAGCCTACAGAGGCGAAGCCAGGGTAGCCACGGCTGTGGGGCCCCGGCTTTCAGACGACAAACTGAAACCTCTTTGAGAGGTAGCTGCCTGATGACAAATGGGGAAATGAGATGGGAGGGTAGCCACGGCTGTGGGGCCCCGGCTTTCAGACGACAAACTGAAACCTCTTTGAGAGGTAGCTGCCTGATGACAAATGGGGAAATGAGATGGGCAAAAAGCTCCACTTTGTCTTGATCTCTTAGTGTTATTTTGAATTAGATTTTTATTAATGATTTCTTTGAAACAGACTGAAAATAGAAATTAGATGCTAGTGTCAGCCTGGTTTCTTCCTGGGAGCAGAGGGCCCTGGAGTGAGGCTCTGGCAGGGGGACGGACCCAATTAGTTGCCTTTGGGTGATGGCACTTCAGTCCCTTTAGACATGTGGGAGGAGCCCTGGCAAAAAACTGGCCACATGTCGGCAGGAGCACAAAACAAATGGTCAACGTGCATCCAGAATGTTATCTGCTTTTAAGGATGGGGGTGTGGGGCGCCTGTGTCTGGAACTGAGCACTGAACTATGAAAGGTTTGAAGAGCCCAGGATGGCAAGAGAAATGTCAGTGAGGATTTAGGAGTTTAGAGTAGAGGAGGAGGCAGGCAGACTGCTATTACACAAGGGCAGAAAAAGTGAAAGAGGGCTTTGATGACAGCTGTAAAACCACAGACATGAATCTGTTCACCAAACCCTAAAATGTGAGTACTAGGGGATATGGCCTTGAACTCTGAAATATTATTTTGAAGACTATAGCAACATGATAAAAACTTGAGATGTGTTAAATGAAAGAAAATTAGAGTAACAAAATCATATTTAGCACATGACATATGACTATAACTATATATAAATGATGTATGTGAAAGGGAACCGGAACTAGGAGAAACGTGGAGAAATACAAACATTTCTTTTATAGAATGGCAAAAGTAAGGGGAAGATCTGTACTTCATGGATTTTTATGATGTTATTGATATAAAAATTTCAGAGACTAGAAAAGAGTAAAGAGAATTCATTTTTCAGAGCAGAATGTAGGTCACATCTAAAGTGTGTAACTGGCAGGAAACTGACGGGGTAAGAGAGAAATACAATCTACTAGCTGTGAAAAGGAATGGTGTTTAACTGATTCCACCTGACAATGCCTTGCTCATAAGTAACACAACTCAATAACTTGCTGAGGCTTAATTGCTCCTGGGAAAGCCTCTGACTTAATTTTGTTCTCAAAAACTAGAGAAAGATCGAGAATTTTAAGTTTACAATGGGAAAAAATAATCACTTAACTGAGTGTGAAATTCCAGACTGGAGTTTCTAGAATACAGACCTCAGATTATTCATATACTGCTCTGTCCTCCTGGTTTTTTTCTCCCCGGAATTCATGGTGTACCTTAAGGGTTTGTACCCAAACATGGTTCAGGTACCTCCCCAAAGGCTCACGGCCCCTGAACCATGGCAGTAGCTCCCCCCAACCTTTACTCTGACGTTCCTTACCAGGGTCTACAAGTGCTAGACGCTTGTCTCGGGACAGAGACGCTCTTTCCTCCTGGTTGAACATTCTGTCGATCATCACCATCTCAGCAGAGGGATTGATCCGCTGAAAATGAGAGAGGCCAGTCATTTCAGATACCTTTTAACAAGTGCCAACATCTCCCTGCACCTTTGGAGCAAATGAAGCAATTCGGAATGAGGAGCTAGTGTCTAGGGTCTAGTCTGGTCCTATTTAGTCACATTGGATGATTATTTTTAAATTGTAGTTTTTGGGAAAAGGTAATTTATACATTGGTACAAAATTCAGAAGGTAATAAAGGGGATGTGAGAAGCGCCCCTGACTTATCTCTCCTGGAGGCACCTGTGGGCCCAGCAGTGTCATATCCTCTTCCAGGGATATTTTATGCACACCCATGTGTTTACATTCTTCTTTGTTTATTTTTGCACATACACGGTAGTGATTGTACAATCTGTTCTGTACCTTTCCTATTGCCCTCTCTACTTAATAGTATGTTGGAAATCTTTTCACATTTTACTTTATATTTTGGCATTTTAATTTGTATTCTGCTATGCTTTGTGTTTTTCTATTGAGGATTTCCTTAAAATTATATTTTGCTATACAGAATCAAATCTTAAATTATATTTGTGAGTCCTACTAACATGCAAATTTATGGCAGATATAAGATAATGTGACCAAATAAGTGGTCCTTTCCTAAAAAATGAAAGAGCTAGTCTTCTGAGGTCTCGGAGTTTTGTTTCAGAAATGGTGTCAATGTAAGAACTATTTCAGACTTTGAAGGCACAATTTTAAGTGTGTGTGTGTGTGTGTGTGTGTGTGTACACACACACACAAATATAAACAAATACAATATATATTAGTAAATACACACATCTATACATATTTACACTACATTATATACATGTGTAATGTAGTTGAACTGATTTCCCAAGGTACATTTTCAAAGTTGATCTCAAATTGAAAACCACTGTAAGAGATCAATTTATAGGCGGTATGACTTTAGAGCTACTTCTCAAATCTCAAAATAGGTTTGGTCTTTCTGTTATTTGCTGAAATATCTTATTCCCTCCTCTAACTGACTGCTTTGAAATTAATTTTCTTTCAGTTTGGACTGATGACAATGTTTTGAAATTAGATAATGGTTGCACAACCTTGTGATATACTGAGAACCACATAGCTGTACATTTTAAAATTAAGTGGGAATTTTATGGCATGTTAATGATCTCTCAGTTAAACAAGACAAAATTAATTTTAACATTTGTCATCACTTGTCTTATCAGAAGTTACTCTGAACAGTTGTCACTGGAGAGGCCGCCCCATCTCTGGAGAGGCAGGAGACAGCTTCAGAGCGTGGATGGGCCTGGGGGGGTGAGCCTGCTCTGTGTCTCAGCTCTGCTCTCACTAGTCTGCAGACTTACTAGCTGTAGGATGTTTGGCAAATTACTTAACCAAAGCCCTGGTTTCCTCACTTAGAACTAGGAAAACCGCAGCACTGATTGTGATTGACCATGTTTAGCTGTTTTTAGTGTAAGTTTTTTCTACAGCCTTTTAAGTTACTGGGAAAATGTAATTCCTTGAAGATTTTTCTCTCTGAATTGGCAGCTGTGAACTGTGTAATTGAAAAAAAAAACAAAACCATGCTTGGTAGCACAAACTTTACCATGGCATCTTCTAGGAGTAGGAATCTGTATTTGTTAAGCATAGCTTGGGTCCTTTTTAGGAGCTGAGTGGCAACTGTTTCAAATTCATCGTCAACTTTAAAAAAAGAGAGAAAAAAACAGTAAGAGAGTGCAAATCACCACTAGGTCTTTTATTTTATAGGACTGAAATGCTTTACTCTTCCCTTATTCAAACATGTCTTGTCTGTGACAGTTTTCTCTTTATAGATTAGCTCTTCCTTGTTTAAACATGGTGCTTCTGCTCTGCTTTCCCTCACTGTCCATTGTCATGTAATCACAGAAACTAATTTCCATACTAGTTTATTTTAATTTTAGTTGGGAAGCCAAAATCCTAATATTTTCAATATCACCTATAAAAGAAAACCATGTAGCACAGATCAGGGATGAATATCAATGAATAGAGAATGATCTGCTAGCTTAGATGATCTAAGCCTCCACTCCCTTTCAACAGTATGAAAAACTAAACAGCTGAAACCATGAAGTTGTCTGTCTGGGCTGGGCAGACTAGTTTACGTAAAGATACAAACTAGCTCATGATGTCTTGTAGGTTGTGGTACTGTGGCTCTGTCTGTCGGTCTCCAAAGGTCCCACACTTTCTACTGCTCTCTTCCCAGAGTCTCCACATCCCTATTTAATTCTGGATCTGACCCCTACTCCCTGCACTTGCCAGGGAAGCTCACAGTGGACAGACCCAGACCACTACACTCAGAACTGAGGCCGGATCCACGGGCGCAGACTGGTGGAAGCTGAGGGAGGGATGAAAGCAGTGGAGCGGAACTAATGAAGTCTAGGCTTGGGAACAGTGGTGGAAAAGAGGGTAGAGCCAAGGTGCACAGCAGGGAAGGCAGAGCCAGGCCAGGCATCAGAATGGGGAGAGTTCTAGGTTCAGATAAGAGGCCCTTATCCTTAACATTTTTTGCATTTCTTGATACACAGCAATGCCCTGGACTAACTCTGGAACTTAAAAGAATGCTTTGGAGTGTTAACGTATCAAACTCATAAAACTGGTAGTAACAGGTAAGGGTGTGTGCTCTGCCTAAACACAAGGATGATTTCTATATTGCTGTGCAGAGTACCTACTTCAGAGCCATCCCATCTGCAGCCAGCAGTCCAAACAATGTTTTGGATTTACTGCTCCCAAATTTGTCCACAAAATACTCTGATATTTAGGTACCCCTTCACAGCATATTGAGAAGAATAAGGCACATCCCTAAACATGGACTGGGAAATCAAGTAACTGGGAACAAGTTAGGTCTGTGATTAAAAACAATAATCTGGCTACGGTACGTCACTCTTGCTCTTCCATGTAGCTGGTGTCAGAGTGGCATGCTTACCTCTCACTCTTACAGCCCGCTTACCTTTCTTCAAGTCTTCCTCTGTGGGCATGGAGCCCTGGCACACGTGGTAGGAGAGTAGCCTCTGTACTGCATCACTTAGTGATCGGAACCGACTTTTATCAGGTGTCACAGCGTGGGCTTGGTCCCTCTGTAACTGCTGGAGAATGCTTTAAAAGAGAAAATGCCAATGTCAGAGGAGGTCATGTGAGGAAATCTAATCATGACAGTTATCTGCATGCAAAGAACAGCAGTCATGCGGGAATGTTGTTACTCAAGATGCAGCAGTTATCTTTACTTCAGTTTTACGTTTTGTGCACCATGGTGCTTTCAGAGTTTGGTCTGTCTCTGCAGGGGCTCAAACTATTACCCTGACCTTAAACAGCAGTATTCCCACAGACCATTCATGCGTGGGCACTTACACAAAACTTGGCAATGCTTGACCATTGGCCAACTAAGCTTATGCACCATGTAGGTTCTTAACACAGGGATTTATCAAACCACATGCCTCCTCAGAGACCCTGAGGCCAATCACAGGGGGTGTGGTATGCTAAAATGACACCTAGTTTCAAGAACAGAGGAGCAAACAGTAGGCTCAAACTATATTCGAAATATTTACAGGTCTTAATGGAAACAAACTATAGGAAAAGATTGAAATATATTTCAAAGATATTATACATATCATTACAGTCTGACTTTTGTTGTCTCTTTATTGAAGGTTAGGAACCTAGAGACAGTTCCAAGCGAGCCATTTCCCAGGGTCACTCACAGAGTTTCTTTAGTTAGTTGTTTTGCAGCAGGCCTCTTCTGTCCTCCCGAATGACTATCCACCTGAAGACAAAACACACTTCTCGTTATTCCCTTTTGCAGAAATAATATGCAGAATTTACTTACACATAAAGGTTACTGTCTTGAATATTTTCATTCCCTATCAAGAGCATATTCAAAGGATGCAGACTTTGCCCTGCTAAAAAATAAAATGAGCAAGTCCGAGTCCTAGACCCATTCAGCAAAGATGCACTATTGCAGGCTTTTCCATGGAAGGACTCGGCATGTACCTTAAAGTCTGAATCTCCAACTCCTTCTACAAGTGCACCATTACAGTTTTGAAGAAACATATTTGTGGTTTCCAACTCCATGAACATCTGGAAATTCAGCAGCTACTCCTTAATTCGGCTTCTCAGTGGTAAATACGGAGCAAACACATTTGAGCTCCTGTCACCCCTGGACTGGGTGTGTGGTCTAGTTGCATATGTCATGTGAAGGAAACAAATGTGCCTTACGTCAACCTGAGAACTGAAGCCAATCCTTCACTGAGCATTTCAGGCAGGCCTAAACTACAAGTTTCATTAAACTTTTAATTGGTAAGTTTGATGGAGAAAAAACTAAGGCCTAAGGAAGTTGAAAACAACTGACTGATTTTCTATCCTTCCTAGACTGGTGGCTGGGTTAAAAGACCACAGGGACTGATTGTTTCATGTGTCTGGCTGCTACTGCAGGAAAAAGCTCTCTTGCTATAACTAAAGATCCACTTTTGATGTGCCAATGAGTGATATCATTCAATAGTAAGCTACTTTTTAAAATTGCCTACTATGTGTTGGTTTGCTGCTGATATAGATATATCATCAGCTCATGAGGAAATGATAGCATTGTAATGAAAACAGAATAGACACATTCATCCTATAAGCATTAACATAAGGAGGTCTGGCTACCAGGAGGCCCGTGAACACACTCTCGTGGACAATGGAGCGGACTGCAGACAATGCCAGGCGGCAACCACCACGCAGAGGACCACACAACCACACTCTTGCAATTATGCTAAACATTAAGAAGAAGCTTTGCAAACTGTTCTCTACCTGAACAGATGGCTGGCCAGGAGATGATCCAACCACTTTCTCTTGCTGTGGCTGTGCGGTTCCTAAGGACACTGGTATAACTTTGCTTCCAGAATCCTGCCCTATTAGGATTAACACATAAAACAATGTTCAACAAAAACAGTAAATCAGGCCCACCGTGTAACCTCTAGAGTCCAATGCATACAGATTGCTGAACATTCTAGAAGGGAATTCTTTATCATGGATGCTTGCTGTGAGGAAGGAGAACAGAAAGTATATCTATCTTCAAAAGCACTAGAGGCAGAGGTAAGGAGTATTAAAGCCTATTTAAGTAGTAAATAGAAAAAAAAGTAAATAAATGATAATAGATAAAAGCTGTCAAGGCTACAGTTTCAAATTATCTAAGGTCTGAGGGGTAGGCCTTAAGCCAATAATCTGTTAGTATTACCAAACCCCCAAATGCTCACAACTGAAGGAAAGGGAGGCCCAGACAGGGACTGATTAGGAATGTTCACACTTCAGTCTTTTCTGGTACCTTTGGGGAATGCGAGTGTTCAAAGCTTCAGAAGAGATGAAGACATAGCTCACAATACTTTTACTAGTTGGGGCGGGGGCAGGGGGATTCTAAATAACACATGTACAGCAACATGAGGATAGTTCCAAAGACATTTGTGCCACAGAATCCTAGATTTCATTGTTCCTAAGCTGCACATCTTTTCATATCATTTGAAGTGTCATAATTTAATTAGAAGTGCTTTTCTCTTTCTTTGTATATATAAAATGATATACAGATGCAACATGGTCTATTATTTGGGTGGAAAGGATACAGAAGCAATGATCAGAGTGGAGATGAAGTCACATGAGAAAGACAGCACGCAGAACGAAGGGCTTGGGGGAAATCCTCAGGCGTGGGGAGGAGGGAGCAAACGAGGAGGGCTTACTACAAAGGCTCCTGACCTGGCAGTGCCGTGCTCAAGAGGCTGGGGATCTGCGCTGGCCTCAGGCCATCTGTGCTCTTGGAAGTGGAAATGGGGGATGTCTGATTCAAACATTTTTTCTGAGCCTGTGAAAAATATTACCAAAATGGAAAAATTAAGTGCATGACTAAAACCTTTAATAGATTACTCAAAACACCAATCATGCCTGTCAGCACCTAGCTGGCATCACCTTGAGGTCAGACTACGAAACAAAAGTGAGTGTGTTACTACAGTGGGAGAGCTGCTGACTGCCCTCTAACACCTACGGCACTCTGCATTTTCTTGATGCCTTTCAGCAGGGATGCTGAGTTTATACCATGCTGATTTCTTGCTCCTGGAACTGCTGTGTTTGTGGTGCTTAGATGCAGAGCCTGAGCTGGGCACTCGGTTTCTATCCCTGGGTAATTTTATAATATCACGCCTGCAAGGATTCTGGCCCTGACTGTCAGTTCCTATGGGGGAGCTGTACAGACTCTGAGCACCTGGTCCAGGCGCCAACCGCAAATCTACTGTCAGTGTTGCTGTGTAGATGATCTCACATACATTTCACACCTGCTGTCTGCTATGTCTCTGGATCACACCATGTCAACCTCAGGTGGCATGTTATTGGGAATGTAAATTCACGGAATATTAGCTTGAGGAAGCTATTATTAGAAAAATTAATGTGATGTTTAAACTGCTGTGTGCTTCTTTTCTGTAAATGAGGAAGACGAACTAGATGGTGTTTAAGGACTACCAAGTTCTTTTTTTTGTTTCATTTTTATTTATTTATATTTTTTTATTAAGGTGTCATTGATATACACTCTTATGAAGGTTTCACATGAAAAACATTGTGGTTACTACATTCACCCATATTATCAAGTTCCTCCCCACACACCCTATTGCAGTCACTGTCCATCAGTGTAGTAAGATGCCACAGAGTCACTACTTGTCTTCTCTGTGCTACACTGAAGGACTAAAAAGTTCTTTTAGCTCCTAGAAAATGTTACCTCTGTAATGCATTTAAAGTAAGATGATAAAGGGCTTTTAAATTACTGTCAACTTTTAATCATATGTTATTATCACTTCATAGTGCATTTTTTCTTCCCTTTTATATTTTGTATAGCATCAGTAGATTTAGAGTTTAGTCTAACCATCCCCATGGGGCACTTAAACTATGACCTTGGCCTAAGTGAAATGTTCCCAACAACCATTCATGTGTGGACGCTCACAAAGACTTGGCAACGCCTGGCCAGCTAAGCTCATGTTAACATTTAGGTTCTAAATAGGTAATTCTTCTAAACAATCAGTTATCTACTTTGTTTTTTTTCTAATATAAAAATGGAAAGGGATTTGACATCACCCAAGGTAGACTGGAGGAGGTCATTACAAAGCTGGACATGAACACCTTGCTCATCCGTCCTTTAACAGGGAAGGCAGACCTGCCCACTCTAGGCAGACAGGCTATACAGTCTTAGGAAGAAAACTACCAGGGGAAAAATCTTCCAGTTTACACAGCATTTCCTCTAGAATATAACTGCACTCTCCTACCATAGGAAAGCTGCTCACTCAGAGGACACCTGGGCTGTGGGGAGGCCTGGGGCAAAAAGTGAGTACAGGCCTTCCTCACAAGTATTTCCAGGTGAGGAACACTAAGGGTGCCCTTAAATAAAAAACAAAACAAAAAAGTTAGGAAAATGCGGTTTAATAGGAAAGGCTATATACTTGGTGGGACTCTGAAATATGAGAGCAACAGATGAATAGATGCATCAGAATATGTTCAAATGACCACAGGCCCTACGACAGTGCTGCTAGTACACAATATTTGGGAATTTCCTTCAGTATGCCTAGTTCATACAAAACAATCCATACTTGTTGCTTTAAAGTGCATAACTTTCTTTATAAAGATGGTAAATACCTAGCGTGATCTCCCACTTTATCAGACATGACCTAGAATGACTCCTACCCATTAAACAAATAAAAAGCAAAATCCATGCACACATGAATGCTAAAACTATACAGAAACATAAGGAAGAGATCATCAGGAGAGGGGTACTGGCAGTATTCTATTTCCTGAGTGATTATATGGATGGGGATTTGCTTTATAATTATTTGTTAACTGTGAACATTTAGGTTTCATGCACTTTCTAAATGTGTTCTACTTTACAGTACAAAGAGTAAAAGAAAAAACCCTAGAACAGTCTAATCTAATGTCAAAGCTTGAAAATTTGTCGTTTGAGAGGATAAAGTACTGCTGTATCTCAAAACAAGGTTCCCATCTGCAGGGCATACCTGTCGCTTGAGTATGGTATGTTTTACAGTCGCTTTGCCTGCCCGTGTGGGTGCTGAGCCTCGGCATCTGGGCGGTCTTATCTTCCTACTATTTCCTGTGCTCCTCACTGTATCCTTCCCCTGGGACCAGAACAATCCCTCCAGCGGTTACACTGTGGGGGAGAAGCAGGTAGGCCAGGGTGGCAGTAGAACTGGAATCCACCCGGGAACGTGGCCTGGCCCCTACACCAGAATGGCCTTGACCCACCCAGACTGCACATTTGGGAAGCTCTGCTGCCTGAGGGGCCGCTCTGCCTCCGGACATTTGCTGGCTGCTCCCAGGCCACTCATGCCCAGAGCGGGACTTTGGGGTGTCTAGTTCACTGCTGTGTCCCCAGCACCAGCACAGGGCCTGGCACCACACTGAGGACACAGTAAACAGTGGTTAAATAAAAATAAGAGAGCGAATTCCACTGCAGCATAAATCAGAGGAGCATAAATCAGAGGCGCCTGACCCTCCTCCCAGTCCAACCCTCCCTCCCCAGGAGCCATCAGCTTTCTCTCATTCCTCCAAAATTTATGTTATCTGCAGCTGATAATCTTTTCCAGAAATAAAATTGATCATTCCATTGTTTTTACTGAACTCTCAGAGAAGCCTTGCTCTTGAAATAATTTTCTTCACAGATAAGCTATTTTAAGAGTATTTTGAGAACTTGGCTCCAAGAACTCTGCTAGTATCAATGTACAATTTTAACTCTTTGAGCCCCATGACTTATTTTGATATCATGTGAACTTCCAGGAAAATCCCTATACATCAGAATATGTCAGTTTCCCCCTGTGTGGTACGTTTTGAAAGAAGCCAGTTATAAACTAGAGAGACGATGCTCATTCACCAACAAGCACATGCTAAATGAGGGAGACTGGGACCTGCCCAGCACCCTCTCCCCTGGGATGTGCCTCACTGTCACAGAAATGGGTTGGAGCCAGCAAAGATGGAGAACACGCGAAGGCATGTACCTGTCAGAGGGCATTAAGAATTAAAACCAGGGAAGGGGCACTTTTTTTTCTGCCATCTAGGTCAGCTTTTTTTTTCCTAGGTCAGCTCAGAGGGACACCTTTTCCTAACTTGAACAAAGACCCTGTACGGAGCAGCAGAGGCCCTGCCTGGCCACCTCACAGTGCCCATGGCCCTGCTCCTCTGGCCTGCTGCGGCTTACTGAACCACAGTGGGCCAATCAGACTCCCTCCTGGGAGTTGAGAACAGGGGTGGGGGATGAGAGCGGATGCCCAAGGGCAGTGGTTCTCAAATGCTGGTTTTGTAGACTAGTTGTATCAAGATCACCTGAGGAGATTCTGAAAGACAAAGTTCCTGGATTCCAGCCACAAAGAACAATTCAGAAATCCAATGTGGGACTTAGGAGTTTATAATTTCCAAAAGCTTCCCAGTTGATTCTGATGCATTCCTAAGTTTTGGAAACCACTGCATATGCCAGGCTCTGTTAAGTGCTTGGATAATAATGTAAAGCTGGGGGGTGACCACTTTGGTCCAGGAGAAGAAAAAATTTTCCAATATATTTATTGAAAATAATCTGCACGTAAGTGGACCCACACAATCCAAACCCATGTTGTCCAAAAGTCAACTGTACATTTTTTATGCTAATCAGTCTCTTTTCAGCCCATATTTTGGTCCTATGCTTCAGTCCATATATATAGCTGTTTAATCATACAACTTGATATCTCAGACTTGACAAACATATCCTAAAACAGAATTCATAATTTCCTTTCAAACCACAATTTCTTCCATGTTCTCTATATCAGGAACCTAAGCATCATCCTTGTTCCTCCACGGCAAGCCAGTCAGTAGAAAGTTCTGTCTAACCTAATTGTCTCAAATCCATTCGACCCTCACCATCTCTAGTGCTCCTGTGCTAGTGCAGATCTTCACTATTTCACACTTAGATTATGACACCAGCTTCTTCACATGACATACAAAGTCTGGTATGATTTGGTCCTTGCTCACGTTTCCCAGGCAAATCTTCCACACCTCACCCGAACTTGCTCTCCCTCTCTCTGTGGACTCTGTACTTGCTGTTTCCATCCCCTGAACATTCCTCACTCAGGCCCTTTCTGCCTGGATAATTCTTCCTTCCCCCTTAGCAGGTCTCAGACAGAAACCACCAACTCAAGGACACCCTGCCCCACTGGTTCCCTCTGGGCTGGAGGCTCCTTTTCTGAGCCTGGTGCTCTGGACTTCTACCAGAGTACTTAGATCCTGTGCTGCGGCTGTCAGCTTATCTGTCTGCCTCCTGCAGAGCAGCAGATTGCTGTAGCCCTGGAACCTGGCCCAGGCAGGCGGTAGGTGCTGAAACACTGCTGAGTGACTGACTCAGTGAAGGAAGCATGTAAGGCAGTTAAGTGATTAGTGGTGGGATAGTGCAGACAAGGCCAACAAAGAAACAGAAAAAGGTTTCATTCATCTAGCGGCTTTGGGTGAAGCCTGAAGGAGGAGAAGCGTTTAGACACCATAGAAAAGGACATGATCTCTAAAGGCTTGAGAACCACCCTAACTGCCAGGCCAGGGGGCTGTACTTTCTCCTGTGGCAATGGGAAGTCCCAGATGAAGTCAGGTCACCAAGCAAATGTTTTAGGAAGACTGATGTGGAAATCTGCCTTTAGGAGAGGAGGCCTAAGGCAGATTCATCACTTAGATAATGGTTATAGTTGTCTAATTACAGTAAATTAGGGTTGGGCCTTGGAAATCACATAGCCCAGTGGTTCTCTATCCTGGTTGCACTTTAGAATCACTTGGGGAGCTTTTGAAAAATGGTGAAGCCTG